CCCTCTGTACCCCGGAAACCCCCCCATACATTGCATTGTATGTATTTCCTATATTACATTTCCCCTCTCCCTTCCTTCCACCAGCCGGCAGCACCATGGGCCTCACCAAGCAGTATCTCCGGTACGCCGCCTCCGCCGTATTTGGGGTGATCGCCGGCCCGAAGGCCAACGTGTGCTTTGTCACCCTGCGTGGAGAGAAGGGGCGCTACGTGGCGGTTGGCGCCTGTGAACACGTCTTCATCTGGGACACTCGGAAGGGAGAGAAGGTGAGTCATCTCTGTCCTCTGATTCGGATCCCCGCTGCCTCTGCCCTTACAGGCGGGGGAGAGCAGCGGGGATTGGAGGAGAAGGGGTCTGTGAACCCCCTGGGTCATGATGCTGGAGAGGAATTCCTAGGCACACCCACTACTCCTGGCTCCTCCTTCTGTTTGCCTTATACTTCATTAAAATAGAGTTTCTGTATTGTCGGGTTATGCCGCCGCCTACAGGAGGATTGGGCACGGGCAAACAAAAACTCTCTGGCCTAAGTTGACTCCTCTTACTCCCAGCATGCCTCAGTTTGTAGCAGGCAGTACCCGGGGCGGGACCTGCGTTCCTCAATGGGCCACCGAAGAAAAGGACTTTACAGTGCGCACAAATGTCCTATTTTCTTTCTCACTCAGTGAGGGACACAGGAAGTCTTTAACCATTGAGCTTTCCAAATGAGGGGTAAGTACCCAACAAAACAGACCTGGGCACTGCCTGCAGCCCAAGAACCTCCTGAAGGACCAACACTCAAATCTGACACCGGATGAGGCCAAACCCCCTGCCTGCCTGATAGGGCAACCTGCCAACATGACCAGAGGGAGGTCAGGGAGAACCAGCCTGATGCCCAAGACTAGGAAGAAATGGTCACCCACCATGGAGGGATGGCTCAAAACAGATGGGAGCACCAAGCAAGAAGTTGGACCATCTGAACCCACCAAGAGGTGTAACAATAACGTATTACCAACAGTACTGGACTTGGCAATGCCTGCAGCCCAAGAGCCATCTGAAAGACCAACGCCCGAATCTGACATTGGCTGAGGCCGAACCCCTTGCTTGATGGGGGAACCTTCCAACACGATTAGAGGGAGGACATAGAGAATCAACCTGATGCCCAATAGTAAGATGAAATAGTCACCCACCAGGCAGGAATGACTCAAAACGGAGCACCAATGTAACAATGACAGGGGGGCACAGTACTGATGAGGATACAATGTAACAATGACAGGGTGACAATGTACTGGTGAGGATACAATGTACCAATGATGGGGTGACAATGTACTGGTGAGGGGACAATGTACCAATGATAGGGTGACAATGTAGTGGTGAGGATACAATGTAACAATGACGGGGTGACAATGTACTAGTGAGGAGACAATGTAACAATGACGGGGTGACAATGTAACAATGACGGGGTGACAATGTAACAATGATGGGGAGACAATGTACTGGTGAGGATACAATGTAACAATGACGGGGTGACAATGTACTGATGAGGATACAATGTGACAATGTACTGGTGAGGGGACAATGTAACAATGACGAGGGGACAATGTACTGATGAGGCTACAATGTTACAATGATGGGTGACAATGTACTGGTGAGGGGACAATGTAACAATGATGGGGTGACAATGTACTGGTGAGGATACAATGTACCAATGATGGGGTGACAATGTACTGGTGAGGATACAATGTAACAATGACGGGGTGACAATGTACTAGTGAGGAGACAATGTAACAATGACAGGGTGACAATGTACTGGTGAGGATACAATGTAACAATGACAGGGTGACAATGTACTGGTGAGGAGACAATGTAACAATGACGGGGTGACAATGTACTGGTGAGGGGACAATGTAACAATGACGGGGTGACAATGTACTGGTGAGGGGACAATGTAACAATGACGGGGTGACAATGTAACAATGACAGAGTGACAATGTACTGATGAGGATACAATGTTACAATGATAGGGGACAATGTAACAATGACGGGGTGACAATGTACTGGTGAGGTGACAATGTAACATTGACGTGGTGACAATGTAACAATGACGGGGTGACAATGTACTAGTGAGGAGACAATGTAACAATGACGGGGTGACAATGTACTGATGAGGATACAATGTACCAATGACGGGGTGACAATGTACTGGTGAGGATACAATGTACCAATGACGGGGTGACAATGTACTGGTGAGGATACAATGTACCAATGATGGGTGACAATGTATTGGTGAGGATACAATGTACCAATGACGGGGTGACAATGTACTGGTGAGGGAACAATGTACCAATGATGGGGTGACAATGTACTGGTGAGGATACAATGTACCAATGATGGGGTGACAATGTACTTGTGAGGATACAATGTTACAATGACGGGGTGACAATGTATTGGTGAGGAGACAATGTAACAATGACGGGATGACAATGTACCGGTGAGGGGACAATGTAACAATGACGGGGTGACAATCTACTGCCGAGGATACAATGTAGCGATGACGGGGTGACAATGTAGTGGTGAGGATACAATGTAGCGATGACGGGATGACAATCTACTGGTGAGGGGACAATGTAACAATGACGGGGTGACAATGTACTGGTGAGGGGACAATGTTACAATGACGGGGTGACAATGTACTGGTGAGGAGACAATGTAACAATGACGGGGTGACAATGTACTGGTGAGGATACAATGTACCAATGACGGGATGACAATGTACTGGCGAGGGGACAATGTAGCGATGACGGGGTGACAATGTACCAATGACGGGGTGACAATGTTACAATGATGGGGTGACAATGTACTGGTGAGGGGACAATGTTACAATGACGGGGTGACAATGTACTGGTGAGGAGACAATGTAACAATGACGGGGTGACAATGTACTGGTGAGGATACAATGTACCAATGATGGGGTGACAATGTACTGGTGAGGGGACAATGTTACAATGACGGGGTGACAATGTATCGGAGATGCTGCAAACTCTGACTACTGTGTTACATTACAGGTCCTCATTTTACAAGGCCAGAAGCAGGAGGTGACACAGCTCTGCCCCTCCCCCGACGGGCTCTCATTGGCTGTGGGATACGAGGATGGCTCCATACGGGTGTTCAGTCTTCTCAGCGGCGAGAGCGGGATCACCTTCAATGGGCACAAATCGGCGGTGACGGCGCTGAGCTACGACCACCTAGGTGGG